TTTCTGACCCTTGTTCCAGTCGCTTTGATGGCTTCCAAGAGATGGAAGCAGATCTCTTGGGCGTACTCATCCACTTTCTCTGTTGTACTCAGATCTAAAGCTGGATGTACCCATTTTGCAATAGCCCGCGCAAACTTTGGTAGATTTTCCTTCGGTACTCTGATCTTTGCTGGCACTAGGTCCCTGGTGGCGGTTGCCGCAGGTACGATTCCTCGGATTGGAAGATGGTCGCTGGTCATACACTCCTCACGATCGACCCAGGCCCGGGCTCCAGAAATATTGGTCCAAGCGAGGTCCAAGGTATTGCCGGCTTTGTGAGTGGGCTCTCCAATGATAAGGCAAGAGAGATGGAAGTTTTCCGCCCACTTTTCTATCTCATCACCTCGTCCATGCGGCTTAGTAGCGCCTGGTTGCCAGGCAGCGTGCACCGAGTTGAAGTCCCCAGCTGCAATCACCCTCGGGGTCGGATTCCAGTTTATCAGTGGCAGGATAGCAGTCGGGTTGTTAGGAGCTTTATACACGTTGAGGAACGTGATTTCATTGACCTTTACCCAGCAGTAATCACCAGTGGGTGTGGGACAAGGAAATAACTGCTCCGCTGATATCACATTTTTGTTCTTTCGGGTGTTTGTCACAGCCCTCGGTCTGACATCTACACCTCCGTGCGGTGAATGACAGATATAACCTGGGTGTGATACGGTTTCTTTTGATCTTAAGTTCCATCGAGGTTCTTGAATCAACACAACATCTACGCCTAGCTCGTAATCTCTAGAGAGCGCAATGTTGTGGGTTGGGCCACCCCTGCCTACGTTTATTGACATAAAACTTAGTGTAGGAGGGGGGCGGGAAGGGGCCCGTAGGGCGCCCTTCACAAAGCTTCTTCAGGGTTCAAGGCCCCAAAGCCCGAACCCTCAGTCATTGCTGTGTCTGTCGATAGATTGTCCTTAACAGCAGCAGGAGAAGTTGGTCTTGTCGATCTAGCGGCAGCTGTAGCCGCCTCTACGGCCTTGGTAGCAGCTTTGGCTCGAGCGACGGCCTGGTACTCGCGTTGGCCAGCTTGTCGAATCGTCACGAGTTGCTCCCTGGTAGCTGGGCCAGACCTGTTAGGACGAGCTAGACAGTCTCGACTGCCAGATTGATGGGGGCCTCCGCAGTTTCGACATTTAGAGGCCGCTTTACACTCGAATGCCGAGTGCATGGTGGATCCGCAGTTCCAGCAGGCTGGCGCGCGAGAGCACCCACGGGTGGCGTGGAAGCCGAGACATCGCCTACATTGTTGTATGGCAGGGCGGTTTCGTTGGATTGTCGCTACTCGCGAGTCGTCAAAGAGTCGGAATCCAGGCTTTGGGCTAGCATTCCTGGGAAACAAGGCCGCCCAGGATCTGTAAGGAGCGCCGAGCTTAGTATTTCCGTGTATCCTCACTCGGTCTGGAGTGCAGTTCGTTACCCGGAGGATTTCGGCGGCCACCATTTCGGCAGTGACTTCGATTCGTCCTTCTAAGCCGAAAACTGCAACTGGAACCGTTGCGATCCGGAGGGAAACTAGATCACTTGGTGGTTCTAGTTTTGCCTCCACTTGCGTAAAGGTGCTGGAGGCCTCCAGCAGTCGAGTTTTTGCATCCGGGTTTTTGGCACGGATGGCAAAGCCAGTGGGAACGCGTTGCACCTGGTCGACATCGGACGGGTTGCATTGCGTATGTTTAGCGACGGCTTCGCGAACGCCAGCCGGAGAGAGCTGTCTCCACTCGTGGTTTGCATCGAGACGCAGGGAGAGTCGGTCATCTTTCGATGCTGTTGTTGCTGCTGGCTTCTTCTCCGGTTTCCTGGCAGATGGAACAGCCGAAACCGAGGTGATGTTTGCAGAAGCCTGTGCTCCTGACTTTTGGTGTCCTGCTCTGGTGACAGTGGCCCAGGTGCTTCTGAGCGGGAGAGCTGCAGTAGCCTTTGAAATATTCCGGGGAATGGCTACAGGGACAACGGTCGCAGGCGGAGTCGCGACAGTTGGTCGGTGGGGTAGTACTGGCGGAGCAGTGCTTGGCCCGGCCGCCACGAATTGTGCGATTGCTGCCCTTAGGTAGACTTTGATCGAGTCTACAAAATTTTTATCTTCACCGGTGGAGAGCGGTAGAAGAGCTGCCTCCACACTGCTAATCGCCGTCGAGCAGATATTAAATTGTGCGGCTTTTTGCCTTGCCCTGCGCTCCTCCGCATCCATCGCTGCAAGCAATTCTGGAGGGTATGTTTTTTCTTTGCCTGCTGCTTCTATCGCTGTAGGCGGTGGAGCCAGCGAAGAGTTTTCGGCTCCTGCTGCGTTGGTTGAAGGTACCTCGGCCCTTTTCGCTGGCCTTACTTCCTTAAATCGCGGTAGGGCTGGAACCGTAGCGCGCTTTTCGAGTGCTGCGACGGTTTCTCTTGGAGTTATTGCGGGCCCTGGGGCTTTTTCCGCGTCTTCTGGGCTGGAGGAGGCCCATCTTGAATCTGATAGAGATTTCAACTTCTGGACTTCGACGTCCAACATCTCTACCTCGGGTATATTGCGAACGTTAGCTTCGAGCGCAGCCTCGATGTAGTCTAAATTTTTTTCGGAGGCCTCTAATCCTTTCTCCGTAAGTTTTTGTCTTGCAAGAGTTAATATAGATTCATGCAACTTGTAGGATTTGATGACGCGATCTTTGGTGATCCCGCTGATCGCGTTTTGGTGCGTTCTACGCGTCGGAGGCATTTTAAAATGCCGCCGATGGCAAACAATTACAATTCGATTCGATAGATGATGGGTGAGATGGATAATAGGGTGGGAATGGGCAACTTGGAATTTCTCGAATTGTGCGTTTGTTTGTTTGTTCATTAACGTGCTAGGTGAAGTAACTATCGTCGCACTCCTACTGGAGCTTGAGCACGAGTGGGGTCGGGCCGGATCAGGTTAACTACCGTGCAGTACAAATGCCTCGTCCCACCTCAATGACCGGAACTATGCCGAAACGCATCTATGTGTTGAACCATGACAAATTCGGCAGCCCAGAATTGAAAACAAAACAAAAACTTTCCCGCGAAATCCCGCATTACAAAAGAAAAACTTCAACAATCTCCCTTCCATCGTTCCGCCTCAGCCACCACGCGCCTGAGCCTCGATTCCAATCTCTCTGCCCATGCCAAACCACCTAGGCCTTTGATCTATCACCTCAGAGTCACAGGTATCCCTACCATCCCCCGACTAGCTCCGCGTATATTCCACTCTCCTGGACGTAGTCCCTGAACAGCTGCCATCCCCTTGATCCAAGCATTGTTTCCAGAGCCGGCGCCCTACGCTTTCCGCTTTTCAGCCGCCATGTTGCCAGTGCTTTTCGACACTGGACAAGGTGACCAATTGATTTTTCCCTCACACACTCGTAGTTAAGTGTAGCGTCAGCGTGATTGAAGCGGCGATGATATGCCGCAAAGTCTCCATGTCCGGTTCGGGCAGCGATCAAGCGTGCGAAGACCGCTCTAGGTGGCGGACAGCTGGTCGGACTCTTTTGTAATTTTTAGGTGCTGTAGTGCGCGCTAGAGCGTCGGGTAGTTCTGTAGGGACTGGGCCGTCCAGCACGTGACAGTAGTCACGAGCTGTAGATAGGCACGACGTTAAATCCAATCAAAATCAAAAATCAAAATCAAATAGGGCTCTTTAGTCAACATTTACAACGTAATACCGTGTCCCACGTATCTTTCTTAAGAAATTGTAACGAAGAAATTCATCGCTTATTTTTACTTTTCTTTCCAAACTTTGAGTAGAAATTAGATTCTACTTTATTATATTCTCTATAAATTTTAAGACTGTGAAAGACTTCTAGAAGCAGGCTCAAGTAGTTTTAATTTACTTGAGTTATACCACTTTAGTTTCATTAATTTCTTCCAATGGATTCTGTGGGTCTTTCCCGTGGTTTGAGTATATATGAAACGCTGGTTTCAAGAAAACTGACGATAAATGAGAATTAGAAGGCTAAAATTAGTATAAATTTTATGAGAGCCTTCAGAAAACTTGGGTACGACAAAAGTATGACTCAAACTTAACTTAAAAGATGACCTAGTGATAGCTGAAATGTATCCGTTGTAGCACCGATAGGAAATACAGTTAAACGGCGGAAATAAAACTTCCTAGAAATCCGAGTGAAAAAAATTATTGTGAAAAGCCACAAATCATTCTAGACTCCGGTGAAGCAGGAAAAGGGTTCATCCTGAATTGGCTTCTACTTCATTATGTAAACTCACACTATTTACGTTAATGGTAACGACAGTATTCGTGATGCAGGTCGAGTAATTATTTACAGCTCAAGTTGCAGGATATTCCTTTCCAGGAATATCAAAGAGTCAATCTTTATAATACGATTACCCTAATCGTCACAAATTTGGATCTAACCTGTGCCATAGACTGCCTAGTCTTACAAATTAGTACTTTGGCTTCTGTAGAGCCTATTCGAGCGTACCGTATTAGCTACTTGTTTTTAACCTTTCAAAAAAGATATAACTTTCTTGAAGAATGAACTTATATATCATCTGTTTTCCTCATTTAATATCCGCTAAGATTGCTTCTCTCTTCATGATAGATGATATCTAAAAATTTGTACTGGAAAATATCCATCACATAGCTAAACGTGCATAGCCAACCCTTCTGCATATTTTGGTATCAGTTCCGTGAAAGATAGGTTGATTCGACTCATTATCAAGATTTGGTAATTTTCAATTAGTTCCTTTCATCTTACTTTCCCAATAATCTTCAACCAAATTGGCAACAAAGATTGGTTCTTTGAGAAAGTACTAAAGTTTACTCACCAGCCAGTAGAGTTTTCTGTAGAATTAATTTCCTGGGCGAGGTCTGTACATGGTTTTTGATAAATTCTTTGGGTTGCAAGGAACTAGGCCTTGTAACATATTCCGAATAGCAATTTTAATAAATTATCTTTTTCTATAAGCATCTTTTGCACTAGAATAGATATAAGACACTTTGATGCGCCAAATTATGGTCTTCAGAGATTCATGGTGACAGTCATACTATTACTGTGCACCATTAAAACAGGAGGACATCCACGACAGAGTAATTCCAAGTCTCCTAGGTATGCAGAGCTAGCCTCTTCACTCAAGCCAGTGCCCTCTGCAGGACTCGGTAATGTGGTGAACATTACAGCAGTTTCCTTAGTATTCAATCTCATTAACTCATTCAAAATCAAATGTTGAGCCCGACTAGGTAAATCATTGAAGGAGAGAGGCAAATTCTGTGTAGAATACGACGATCCTACTCGAGGAGAAGAGGAAAGCTTGGTCGTTTCGGGATGAGCATTAGAAGCATTTGTCTCTGATAAGTACGCCGAGGGCAAGCAACTTCCAAACCGAGATGGAGGTGGCGTTTCAGTAAACATAATAGACGGCCCCGGTCCATCTTCTGTGGCTATCCTTGTGGCGGGGACTGGCTTACTTGAAAATTTTGGCTTCGAAGCGTGCTTAGAAAGAGTTTCGGGCCTTGATCGGGAGTTGAAGGACTGCGCATTGAATTTCAAGCCTGCAGATAGTTCTCCAGGAACTTCATTTTGAGGAGACTTATTCTCTTTTTTTGATTCGGGTGCTATTGTTTTAGGCAAATAGGATGTTGCCAGAGATAATTTATAAAGGTCTAGGCATGAAAATTGCTCGTGAGCCAGCTTAGATTCATCAGTAGAAGAGCCTGGATTTGATCCCTCCGGTAGTTGTATTTGATTTTCGTCATTCAGCCTTTTTGACGAGGGTGTCCCCCTGATAGCGTCACCGTGACTTTTCCTTCGGTAAATTTTGGAAGTAAGCGCCTCGGGCTCGCTCCCAAATTCAAAATCTTCAACGTCACCCTCACTGGCTATGCCTTTATCTGAGTCTAAATCTGAGATACTGCCTTCATCATGGGAACTGCTTGAATCTTCGCTCGCGCTCACTTGACTTGAATGGACTTTTAAGATGTCCCGAGTTAATCTATGAGTCCGCATACCAAGGCTGACCCCTAATTTAGCAAACCTACTCATGGACTGTTTTTTCTTCGTCTTCTTTAGGAGTCTCTGAAGGCCATTGAACCTCTTGACCTTAGTTTCACGAGGGCCTTGCTGAAATGAAGATTCTGGCCAATTTGTACCTGTCATAAATAGACTCGCAATCTCCGATAAATTTTCTGTACCTGATGAGTTGCCGCGTTTCCCCCGTATTCGCTGGATTTCGTCCCACCAGTCCTGTCCCTTGAGGTACTCTTCCACCTCTTCCTCTATTTGCGGGTCATAACTAGCGCCATTGACTATAATTTCGTATGTGGCGAAATTTCCAGAGGCTAGCCAGAAAACAAGAACTCTCGCTTCTATTCGTAGATTTTCAAGGAGCGACTCGACTCGGCCTCGTTCCTCTTCAACATCAGTTTCATACTCGACAAAAACTGCTACACGTATTTTGTACGCTTTTTTCCAGGCCGGTACAGTATTCAAGATGACACCAAGTTGTAGTATTAGGGTATCTAATGTACATTAGTCATCAAGATTTTTAGTTGGAAGCGGAAAACTTGCAAGTATCAAAATTGGTTGTTAGTAAATTTGGCCTATTTTCACCAGCTGTTGTAATTTCTGCTGACATCTGTATCGGCCATAGGTCTATGAATTTTTTAGAGTGATTGTCTTGGCTAGGGAAATCTAAATCTTCAAAGCCTTTCGCGATCGCAACGTTAATTTGAAGCCGCAATAAAAGATCCTCTAATATAGTTACATAGCTAGTAACGCTCATCATTCCTTCGGTTTTGCAAGAATCTGTTGGAAGAACATCACTCATTGTGTTGCCTTCGCTAACTTTGAACGATTTACGATTTCTTGATTGAGATGTAGGAGCATGAAACTCTGTACCCTTTGCGTTCGTTGGAGAGTCTGAGAGGTTTATAAGTGGCTGCCTTCTGAAATCATCAAGGTTATAAAAACCTAAGACGGCGATGTTTGGTCTCATTCCTCCTAATCCAGATGTCATGACAATGTTTCTAGCACCCCATTCAACACCTGGGGAGATCGCAATATTTACAAATGCTTTTATTTTAGAAAAGTCAATATACTTTGACCAAGCTGCCTGTTGGCTTCGAGCTTCAGGAACAGAGCCTCCGAAGTCATCAGTAACTATGACGTGTCCTAAAATGTAAAGAGCTCCTTTTTTCATGGAGTTACAGAATTGTATAAGCTTGTATTGGCGGCGAGGATCGTTGACAAACAACAAAATCTGTGGTCGCCAGAACTTGACATGTTCTTGTTTAAGACGAAGTAGATATTTTCGAACTTGATGATAGATAAGACTTTGTGACACGTCTCCCCAGCTTTTCGGCGGTGAGTTGTAGTGAATAAATAGAAAAATAAATATCAAAATCCCTAAAAATCCAATAGCATAAAATCTGTCAACAAAAAGCATTGCTAGAGCAGAGATAATGGTTCCAAACAAGGCCGTTTGCCAATTGAAAAAATTAAATGAAGGTCGAAAATTTGGCGCTGAGCCAATTTCAAGTAGAAAGCAGGCTAAATTCATGACAAGGAAAGTCATCTAAGGTTAGTCAGCTAAAGGAGTTCTTAGACTAAATATATTCTGAATGCGATCTTGGATGCCTATATTTAATAAACTTACTAGATAAGTCATTGTTACGAAAGAAGCAAGTTGATTCAAATCACAAAGCATCATTATCTGGGAAATTAGATAGGTTAAAATAATTGCGTAGGTTGGCTCGTCTTTGTCTGGAGACCCCTGTTTAAATATCGAGGAACCTGGGAGCAGATTATCCCGTGCTAGAGCCTGCAATAGCTTTGCAGAGCCAATAACGCCCATTAGCGTTGAGAATAATGCACTGGCCAGTTCTCCAGCGAGAATAATCAAACCAGAGACATTTGTATCTTGAATAACGTTTGCATTTACTATCAACGAGGATCGTTTTGTGGTGAAGGCCATTGCGAGAATAACGATAGAGTAGAGTATAAAAGTTGTCCCGAGGCCATATAAAGTTCCTCTTGGTATGGACTTACTTGGAGTCTTTAGGTCCCCAGACATGCTAGCCCCGGCAAAAATACCACCAGTCGCTGGGAAGAGGATACCAAAGAGAGTCTGATATGAGTCTCTTTGGTAAGATTGGCCAGCAGCAGTCTCTTTCATGAGCAGTGGCTTGAGATTTTCGGTGAAGGTCTTCAAGCTTGGACCTGTGTATTCGATTCCGAGACTTTTATTTTCGAAAGGTGATACAAAGAGAGAAGAAAGAGGTATGCTGAGGGTAGCTATCATGAGTACAATCAATAGTCCGTTACTTGCACGGGCAAATATGGATGATCCAGCGAAGCAAAGTCCTGTGCATAACATAAGCACTACAGTTGACCAGAGATAATTGTACCACTGGCTCTCAGGAAGCACCTTAATCCAATTCCCAGAAATTGTGCCGAAGTTTAGCTTTATACAGTCGATAAGGCCAACGGCATTCATTCCAGTGTTTAAGGTGAGTCCAAAGTAGAAAATGGCTCCTATGGAGCCTCCGAATTCTGGCCCTAGGGATCTTGAGATCAAATAATAAGCTCCCCCTCCACGAACAGTCCCATTTGAGGCAATAGCAGATAATGACAATGTTGTGACAAGGTTGATAATATATGAAGCTACTAGCAAAGACATGATTCCTAGGAGCCCCGCTTGTCCTGAGAATTCATTATTAGCCCAAGCTACAAGAAAATAAGATGATAATCACCAAGGAGAACTCCAAATCTCAAGAACATGAGGATACTCAGTACATTAAGACAGGTTGGTACATAAACTCCAGAGAAAGTTCCAAGCTTTTCATTTAAGTTGACAGAGAAAGGCAAAGACTTTGGCGTTGAGACCTCTTCATGGAACTTCTTAGACCTTTTCGTTTTCCGTCTGAGGGTTTTTGAGATATCGTCCATTTTTGGCCTATACTTGGTCCTATACTTTGATAAAAACTTTTGGTCGGATTTCGAAGCTAGATCCTTGATGCAAAGGGGTGAGCGAGGTGATGTCGATTTCATTGATGAAGTTGGAGTACTTGTTCCCGGTTCAAACAGATATTCAGGGTATTTTGAGGTGTATGAATTTATGTTTGATGATTGAGAATTTGGCTCTCCCGGAGTTGTAGAATGATAATACTGTTGACCCGCATCCTCATCTGTGGTTATTTCATTGGTGTAATAACTTGGTTTTTTGCTAATGTTTCCCTCGAAATTAGGGTTTATCATAATATGGTTTTCTTTTTTCCCAAATCAACTTTTTGATATTTTTGATTTTGCGTTTAAATCATGTGGAACGGGAATTCGCGAATGCTCAGAGGCCTACTAGGATGAGGACCTCGAAATATTATCCCTGAGTCAAACGTGATGGTAAAAGACAAGGGGCTTACTGAGTTCTCACTAAGGACGTGTTCGCCAATCAGGTGCGAGTAAAGTACGGAACGATGCCATTTTTGGAATTTATTTCTCCAACGGAATTTTTCGACAAGCAGGCTGGACTTCTTTTTAGGGTCCAATTATTGTTCTTCCTAGATTTGAAACAATGTATGAAATGTATGTCCTCTTTGAATACAGACCAAGGATAGCTATGTCCCGGGAATTAAATACCCTATTCATCCTCTTTTACAGCTACTATCCAACAGCATCACCCCTGCCAAGTTTGACGAACCGTAGTGTCAAAGGGTACATTCGGCTAGACGCACTCACCAAACAACTTGTCAGAAGTCAGATTCACACACTAGTCCTAGACGGGGCTCCCCAATTTTGATGGATTACGGATTGGTAAGGACTGCACAGATAACCGATTCTTGACGTACGTCAAGCCCACAACGGATTTCCGGAGAACAATGTCTATTTTGGGGAAAAACAGTACTAACTTGTGTTGACTGTACATGGCAACCACTGCTGAGCTCCAGCACTCAACTTCAAAATTGCAAGTCCAAAGTTGTGTAACAAATTGAACTGGCAAGCTAGTATTGTCGTTAGTTCTACATGACACTCGGTGCACAAAATGACTCAAAGTATCGGCAGTGCAACTCTAGGGCATAGGAGGGCAGGATTGAACACCTGTAGTGGGGGTCATGTGTTTATTGTACTACTTGAGTGTTAGACTATCTAACGAATTGGGCTCCTCTCTAACCCAGGCCACATCTTTTACAGTGCTCCTTGCCTCTTTTGGTATTTCTAAGATCATTGATATATTCCCCTTGATGAATAGCAATTCAGCTCAGTGTTTACCCGTGAAATTCGGCCGCCTTTTCCACGGAACCTCCCACACAAAAAAAATAAAAATGCTAGCAATGGAAACTGCGTGCGCGGGAAAAAGTCACAAAAAAACCTGCAGCCCCAGCCAGGCGAGGCCTAGACACCGGGACCACATGAGGTGCGCATATTCATCTATATCTCCCTTCTTTGTAACAGTCGAGGCCGACTTGATCCAATCCACCATCTCCGTATCGGGTGCTGGGTACGCTGCGGAAACTCATCGGATGGCTTTTCCTCCATGATCAAGGGTTGTTGATGAGTAGGGCTCCGATCCTACTATCTGATCTCATCGTGGTTAGCTTCATGATAATGGTGATAGGGGAATGTGTTGAGAGATGAAGACAATACAGACCGCGGAAGCACTTGGGAATCCGCGTCGAAGTGAGGACTTTGTGACTCAATCTCGGCTCTGCAGACTCTACAGTGAGCGCTGGGGGTTCGTAGGGGACACCGCTGACAGGTGTTTAGAATAGCCCCCGCTGAACACCTGTAGGCGGTGTGCTCCACGAACCTGGACGTGAAAAAATATCCCAGAGCTAAATTCAGTCAAGTTTCGCAATATCGAATAAGTTGGCCCACGAGGCAATGATTCAACATACGAGTGCAGGCGACACTTTAAACACCGCCATGGTTGGATGGTGCGGTGGTACATCGTCTTGGCCGGTCTGCCAAGTAGAGTCTGGATAGCTTGGACACATATCCCACTCGAGACACTAGATCGCTGGTTCAAATCCGGCAAAACACAACCACATTTCTCGCGGCGCTGATTTACATGGATGACGATGGCATGCTTGGATAATCAAAGGTTTTTAAATTCCCTTTGGTGGGTACTTACGGAGGAGGGTCGACTGTTTGTGTAAATGAACATACCTCATAGTGGTATTTGCAAATGAAATCTAGAGTATGAGTGTCTCTAACGTCAAAAGAGTCATCCAAATGTATACATAGCACCGGTCATGTGTCATAGCTAGATAGCTGAATACACAACAAATGATTTAAAAAAAAAAGCCCATCCAGTGCCTGACTTTTCCAAATAAGTGCCTCACGCTAGTTACGTAGGGTCGAATAGGTAGGAACGCATTCACTATGATTCTAAGACCATGTATTGAGGGAAAACCTTCGTGGGAAAACCTCAATAATTCCTCCTGTACTCTTTCATGACGAGCAGCCGTAGTCCCCCCTTAAACAGGCCGTGTAGGAATCCAACCTACCACTTCTGGTAAGCACATCCAGCACCCGACCAACTGTGCCAATAGCCTGTTGAAAATCACATATCATTCTTCCCAATTTCTCCCCTGCATTGCGCTCAACCCCCATTTGAGAGGGCTGAAATTCCGAAATCGAGAGCTCAAAACCGAGGTATCGGTGCCCCAGCTTTTGTCGTTTATTGTTCGTTATCTGAGTGAGGCTTCTTCGTTCGGGCCGTCTTTGGAATGTGTCGAAAAGTTGAGAATGTTGATGTCGCGGTCGAAGTGCTTGTCTAAAATGAGGCCGAGCAATTGCCCAGTCCTGCACACAATGTTAGTAAGGTTGAAAGCGAAAGGAATTTTATCTTTGATTTTGGAGGGTTGTTGGTGAGTCGTAAAGTCCTCCCAGTCAAACTCAGTCGGGAAGTTATTAGAAGACTGAATAGAAGAGACCCAAACTTAAACTTTCGATCTATCGTGCCGGGAACGGAACCTAGCCCACGTGTCAATCGAAATCGACTGGGCCACGCTCAGCAAGCTGCCGCTGCGAAGGGTCCGAGGATGATTATTATTATTAATTCATTTTATTGTCCTGTCTGTGTCTATGCCGTTGTAGGACATGCAGGTCCTCTCTGCCTACAGGCCAAGGATACATATACCAGTAGTTAATCCCCTCCTATGCCTCCCATACAGCTCCCCTCAAACGGTAGCATCCTTCACAAGTCCTGATTTCATCATACACTTAGAGGAGCCCTTTTCCCTTCATTATTTCCCCTCTCCAGCCAACGAAGCGATGGCCATTTGTGGTTATATGGCAGCCGAGAAAAATCGCAAAAAGCCACTGGGTGCGGGGCTCTTCTAGTGCTGACATTAGGACTAAGTCCGAAGACATAGTACCACTTCTGAAGCGTTCGAAGAGGCCGGCCAGCTGGGCGCTGCAGACTTGTGGGTACCTCGGAGAATTAATCCTCTGCCATTCTAGCCTCCTTCCATCCCCTTCTCGAAGGTCGTGCTGAAATTTCAGAAAAGTCTTGACAGAGCGTGATTGCTGTGTAGTAGCTTAGCCCAACTTCTTTTGTGCCGTCCGGGGCGCTGGGGAGTGCCGTTGACTCATTATAAGGAAATAGTTAAACTGTCCTTTGCAGCTATTGATGGTGACATGAATTAAGATGATGATTGTGATTGAGATAGATTTCTATATAGTTTATAATACATGATATGCTCAGGTTCATATACGTTGAGCCAAGCAACCAGATTATGTTCCTCTAGATCTAGATTCATCAGAATAATTACTTACTCGGTAAAATTCTCCTAGTCTCAGTTGTGTGTTTAGGATCTTGATTAGGTTTCTAGTAACTAGTCAATGATGTTTCTCATATCACTGAGACATAGTCATGGTTGATACAACAGGTAAAAACGATGAATCGTGCCTGTACATGACGATGTGATATAGTCATGATCGTCTGAACAATATCAACTCATGAATGAATCATGTCTCTACATGACACTCATCGACAATAGAAGTCCTCCTGGCCAATTAGCCGAAATATCGGTCTTGGCGCTCACTAAAAACCCAAAGTTGAAAACTCCTCAAAAATATCAATCTCAGCATGGTATTTAGAGACGTGTTCCCCCTCAAGTTGTTTGTCCTATTAGAGCAACAGTCCCACATAAGCCAAGACCCCAACTTTGTATATTATGACTTAATTTCCTCCTTGCGGGTAAAGGTTGCGTCTTAAATTTGTAGTGAGTGATGACCGGTGATGAATGAGGAAAGCTCCTGTTTGCAATTGAGGTGATGCCTTTATCGGTCGGCGAGGCGAGATGATATGTGGTTAGATCGGGGTTGAGGACTCAGATGAGAATGACAAGAGAAGCATTGCCGAGAAGTGGTCAAATGGAGATATGATTGAGGTTGCTTTCGACTTCGATTTGGATGCGATTCTTCTTGGCTATCCCGGATATGTAGAGCATACTGAGCGATGACACCGGCACCATTGGAAGGTGAAGAATTCGTCTTTGCCGGCGAATTCCGAGAATGAAAAGCGTTAGATTACAACAGAAAGCAAACAAGGTCGTGAGGTGCACAAAGTTCAAACTTCAACATATTTCTGTCCAAAAATCAAAATCTTACTCCTTCCTAGATTGTACTTGTCCCATGCATAATATTTCCACTTTTCCTAATCTCTCTCACGTGCATTCCAGAGATCTTGTCTCTAGATTTGTGTGCCACGGTTTTTCTTAGCCCGCGGGTATTAGTATTGCCTTGGTCGTATTTTTGGAGGCCACTTCAGGCCGGAGACTGTGTTACGGCGCCATCCAATAGGGGTGGGATCGGCTACCTTCGAGGTGTGTAAAGTAATTGTCGAGGTTCACAATGGAAGGTTAGAAGTAAGAATTTAAATATTAAGAAGTGATGATTGTGGTAGTAAGATTCCAAAGATGATAATGATCAAAAGAAGAGAATAATGCAAATAGTGAAGCTGAAGATCTGGATAAACCATCACTTCCACTTCTTATAATCAGAACCATTTACGAATGCAATCTCCGGCTAGTCCTTGAGCCATCCATCGCATAAGGGTGCCTGAATAATATTGTTAATCTCTCTATGTTGGTTAAAACTACCAGGTTCTTGGATTCGGATCCGAAGGTAAAGGCAATCAGTAGAATGTGTTTTTGTATCTATCTCTCAGAAGGTTTCAGGGTGACAGCTATTGCCCAGAGATATACTGAGTGTACACGTGCCTCCACAAACCCTTACTTGCTAATGCCTATTTT